GGCCAACTCGTGTGGCCAACTCGTGTGGCCAACTCGTGTGGCCAACTCGTGTGGCCAACTCGTGTGGCCAACTCGTGTGGTCAACTCGTGTGGCCAACTCGTGTGGCCAACTCGTGTGGCCAACTCATGCGTGTTCCCTTCCGCAAACTCATTTCTTGGATTGGTACGTGAGGCTGGGAACTTCCGCTGTTGAACCTCCCCCCCCTCCTCCCGCAGAGTGCAAGGCGTTCCTCGGGGAACTCGAGCGGCAAGCGGTCTTAAAGGGAAGCCTCGCATCGCAGCTCGCCGGCCTCCAGCGCCTTCTCCGGCCGCTCCTCGGGGGCGGCTCGACGCCGGCGAGCGACCTGTCCGTCAGCTGTGGGAGCCGTGAGCGAGATTCTTTCGTCATTCCAGTTGTCGCCTCATTAAATTCTCGCAATTAAGCAAATTACAACTTCTTTGAGACGATAAATCATCTTAATTTTTCTGATGAGGAAAATCAAGTGATTTAATTCATGTCGACCAGAATGCCAAAAAATTAAGTTCGCACTCCCGAAAGTCTTAAGTCACACGCAAACGACCCGCAGTCTCGGAGACGACGCCCCACAAGAAACCGGACCGGCTGTGCACCCCCTCCTACGCCGACGCCCTGAACCAGTCCTGCGAGAACGGCCCGCTCTACGTCCTGCGGGAATGCGGGATGCTGAGCTTCCGACCCCGCAAGAAGCGCTACAGCGCAGTCCTCTACAGCCGGAGGTGGCTGCTGCTCTTCAAGGACGCCCGGGCCAAGAAGCCCAAGGTGGCCATCTTCCTCGAGCAGGCCCTCCTCATCCCGGGGGAATCCCTGCAGCAGAAAGTGAGCGAGAAGAAGAAGCACCGAGTCTTTCTGCTCTCAGAGCGACTCGACAATCAGGAATTTCAGACTTACATGGTAAGCTGTGGCATATGGTAAGCTGTGGCATACGGTAAGCTGTGGCATATGATAAGCTGTGGCATATGGTAAGCTGTGGCATAAATAATTTTTGCACGCATCAAGCTTGAGCGCTTTTGACGCTACTTCTAGTTATTGGCCCCGAGCCTGAGCGAGAGAAACCAGTGGGAACGGAAACTGAGATCCATCTGCCTCTCGCCTGATGATTCTCCTTCGGAGGCCGAAAACATTTATGAGCAATTTGGTGAGGAAACCCTTCGGAACTTCATGGCCAGCTATCCGGACGACCCCGAACAGGAAGCTTTCTACATGGAAGTCGAAGAAACGGGCGGAAGATGCACTCCAGAGATCAAACCTTTTCAATTTAGCCCTCCGAAGAGAAACGAGATCGACAGCGAAGGGCAACAGAGTCTCGACGGTGTCGGCACACCGACTCTCCGCAAAACCGACGACGCAAGAACGACTTTGAGGGTTCCGAATTCGAACCCGACCTTCATTTCCCTCCTGAAGGAGATCGAATCCAGCTTCAAGGACCGCGACCGCCTCCCTCAGCCCGAGGAGGAATGCGAAGAGGAAGAGTACGACACAGTCCCCATGCCCAGACCCGTGGAATCACCCGTGCCGGCAATCCCACGCAAAAGCAGCAAAGCGAGTCTCCCCTCAAACTCGAGTCCCAACCAACCATCCATCCCAACGAACCACCCGACAAGCAGTCCGATCACCGACACAATGGAGACCCATCCCTCGCACCCCGAAGAGAAGGCCCCCTTCACGAAAAGCGAAGCGACCCCCATGAACCCCTCTCCATCCACCCGCCACCCCACCGCAGACGCCGAAAGCCACACACCCCATCAGCACCCAGCGACCTCCACACCGGTCCACCACTCAAACACCCAATCCCGCGATCCCCCAAGGAACACCCCAGCAGCTGCATCTCTCTACCGCCTGCATCCGAACCTCCCCGCCCTCCCTCCCACCGAGACAGCTCCATCCAAGACAACGATCTCCCCTCCATCCAACCCCTCCACCCCCCACCCCAAAGACCTCCCTCCCCCCGAAAGACCCACCAAAACCACCCGAACAACCCCATCCTCCCACCCCGAAGAAAAGCCACGCGCCCCCGAGAGACGAGAGTCCCTCTTATCCTCCCCGCTGCCCCGACTGTCCCAGCACTCACAGCCGGAAACCACGAAACCTCCAGTCGAGATGCAGCCGCCCGACCTTCCCTCCAAAGTCAAAGGTGAGAATTTTTATCAGCTACATTTGACAGGACGGAAGCGAAACAGACTTCATCACGAAATGGCGTCATTTCGCATTTATCTCACGGGAAACCCCCTATGAGTACCACGAAGCTTAGCATTTTGTCATTTAGCATTCCAGCAAATATTTTGGAGCCCATTATGTTCCAGTATTTGACAGCACTAAAGAACACATCGAAATCAGTCGAGGCAATTCTTTCCGCCTGTCGAGGTCGACTCAGTAGTTTTTCCTGCATGGAATTGCCAGTTGATGCACTCATCAGCAGCAACTGTTCCAGTGCTTGTTTAGTCGTGACTCACTCAAGCTTACAGAGACATTTCAAGTGCCCAGATCCAGTAGCGAGTTCCAATAGTCAGTTCCAGTAGCGAGTTCCAATAGTCAGTTCCAGTAGCCAGTTTCAGTAGTCAGTTCCAGCAGCCATTTCCAGTAGCTAGTTCCAGCAGCCATTTCCAGTAGCTAGTTCCAGCAGCCATTTCCAGTAGCTAGTTCCAGCAGCCATTTCCAGTAGCTAGTTCCAGCTCCTAATTGCAGTAACAATACAATTAATTTCGTTCCTAGAACCAGCAAGAGAGGAAACGAGAAAGGGAAGCGTTCGGTGGCACAGCTGCATGTCCGTATCCCACGCCTGCGCCTTGTCCAATTCCTCCCAGCACGGACTCCTCCAGATCCTGCAGGTGCTGCCGAGCCCACGGGAGGATAGCTACGAGGCAGTGCTCTACGGCAACAGGTGGCTCTTGCTGTTCGGGCGCGCCGGGGCCGCGAAGCCGGAGATCGCCGTCTTCCTGCCCAACGCCCTCCTTCTGTCGGGCGTGTCCCTGCAGCAAGTGAACGAGGAGAGGAAGCACCGCATCTTTCTGCTCTCCGAACAGCTCGGCAGTCTTGGATTCAACACTTACACGGTGAGGCGACAGCCAAGGCGAAAAACGTTGCAACCGACCGTTTGTGTCGCATCCCTGACCGTTTCTCCATTTTTATATCCAGTTTTTAGCCCCCACACTAGAAGAGAGGGAGCGATGGGAAGAGAAGCTGGCGGCTTCGTGTCCTGCTGTACCTGGAGACACAGAGAATACTCAGATAGCGCCGAGTCCAGGAACCCTGCGAGCCACCGATACTACCCGCGGCAACGAAAAAGAAACTCTCTCCTTGAAAGCCGAAGAAACGAACGAAAGCAATCTTTCGACGACAGAAGTCACATACGACGACCCTTACGAATACGACCTCAGCGACCTTTCACCCAAGACGGAGCGGAAAATTGTACACGGCCAAGAGCATCAGATTAGCGGTGACCATGACCCTTTGAACAAAACTGCAGGCACGATGGGATCGGCCTCTCGAGATTTGCTTTCGAGCAAAAGCGGTAATACTGCTGCGGACGAGGATTCAGATTCTGACTACACGGAACCAGTGGATGATCGGGGGAGTATGGAGTCCAACTACGACGACGTCCCCTGTCCCCGACCCATTCGATCATCCAAACCCCCAGTCCCACCAAAAGCCGCCAAACCAAATCTCTCTAGTGCTAGTTTCCAGCACCCACCAAGCCTGAAGAAGGCTCAACGGACGAACCGTTTGAGCGCCAACGCAACAGATAACCCGCTCGTAATAGAGTGGGGCCCCATCTTGAAATATCCCCCAAGCGAAGTGATCCCCATCAACCCCTCTCCATCCACCCGCCACCCCACCGCAGACGTCGAAAGACACACACTCCATCCCCCAGCGACCGAGTTCCATCAGCACCCAGCGACCTCCACACCAGTCAACGCAAACACCCAACCCTGCGATCCTCCAAGGAACACCCAAGCTGCTGCATCACCCCACCGCCCCCAGTTGAAACCCTCCACCCCCTCCCATTCCCTCAACGAAAACGCTTCCAACCACGACTCCCGCTCCAGCAAGAGAAGCTCAACCTCGTCTTCAAACACGCTCGGCCACCCCAGAACTTCCCCCACGCCATCCAACCAGCCCGCTGCATCTCCCAGTACGCCCTGCAATTCGAGCCTGGAGAAATCCTCATCCGTTTCGACTCTTTCCGGTCCGGACCAAAACGTTCCTCTTCGTTCAGAGCGTCAAACCGAACCAAGGAAGTTTTCGACCAAGGAGAGAAACCCGCCAGTCCCTTTCGGCCACTCGCCATTTCAACACCTAATTAAAGGTAGGGAACAGCGAGGAATTTCTCCCGCGATGCCAGAATATCCGTCGGAAGGAATTGCCGCTCATGGCTCACACCGCGCGAAAGAATGTGGGCTATTGGCAGCTTGCGATGCAGCAGTCGGGCAATTAAGGCGAGTTGCAGCTTCGAAATGGAGTCGCAAAGGGACCGATTGCCCTCACGGTTCTTGTTCGCATTCGAAATGCGTTCGGCGATTCGGGATGAGTGAAACGGGATTCCGTGCAGCGCGCCTGACGGCGTCGCACGCTGCCAATAGCACGCATTTCTCTCGCGCGGTGTGAGCGATGAGCGGCTTTCGACGAGCTTGCCGCTGGGGCCTCGCAGATTCTGTTTCTGCTCTACGCCCAGAGTTTTGCAAATTCACCAGTCCGTTTCCGCAAAAATCACAAAATGGAATATGATCGAATTTCTTCCCAGGATAAAATGAATATTAAATATTTAAAAAATAATTATTATTTCAATGCTTTACATTGAATTCCGATCTGAAAAGAAAATGATTTATTGAGGATCGGCTGCCTCTCTCGGGCTCGCGGAAGCTTATCAAACGGCGCTCCTCTCCAGGAGGAGCAGAGGAAGTCTCGCTCCTCTCCGATAACTTATCTCCGGACGCAGGGAGGGCCGAGGAGCTTCCTGCCCGGTTGCGGCCGGACGCGTTCGCTGGTTCCATATTCCGGCAGAAGGATTCGCAAAAAATAATGCTGAAATAATTACTTGAAATGTACGATTTTGCGCGAAATGAATAAATTGAAATAAGCAATAACAAACTGCAAAAAATCTCTTGCCAATACAGATTGGCAAGAGATTTTTTGATACGTTGAGCAGTTCCTTCGCGGGATTTCCCATCTCCTTCTTTCATCAATTAATTGTGGTAAATGCTTAAATTTATTTATTTATTTTTTTAAATTCAATTCTCGGTAAATTTTGTGCAGATGCAGCATTTTTTTTTAAATATGGAAATTCCTGACATCATCGCCCGCCATTCTGCAAATTTGCCTCCCTTTTTCCCCACTGCTTTCCCCAAGCACCATGTTCACGTAAACATCAAATTTTTCTGCAAACAATGCAAATTTCTCGCGATTCCCATGAAAATGACGTCACGTTTACGTCAATCCATCTCACGTGAAGTACATAAAATATCAAGTTTATGCAAAATGATCACAACGCCATCCGTATGAGACTTTAGCTGACCGTCCCGCAGTTGCAGTACCAAGATTCCTCACTAGATGGAACCCT